GCCCTCTTGTGCCCTTTCGGGTGTGTCTTCTGTCGCTCTTGGCTCGTCTTGAAGCTTTTCTGAGCTCCGGGACCCCCCGGGGAGGATGCGCATCTGGGTGGCGACCCCCCCGCGGGACCCCCCCCGGCGACCCCCCCCCCCCCCGGCGGGGAGGGCAGGGAGGGGCTTCGCCACGACTCAACTACGACGTTGCTCAATGTCGCTTTGGCCCGCGCGCTCAAGGAGACGGGGAACGACGAAGACGACGAGGGACAACGGAGACGGAGACGACGAGGACACGACGGAGACGACGACGACGACGACGACGACGACGACGACGACGGTGATCCACGCAAGACGACGACACCGGGATGCGTCTTTCACACGCCGACAGGGTCGGCGGATTTCCACTACAGTATCTCGTGCGAAATTATTTCCGAGTCGAACGTGTAGTAGCCGTGAGATTTTCCAAGAGCGCGTCTAATCTACTCGCAGTAAAGTACGCCACCGCGTCTACACTGATCCACTACGACAACGATGTCAACCCAGCCTTCCATTATTATGAATGTGTGGGCACCGGCCTGAACATCTCTCAAATCACTGGTAGCACTCACTCCAGACTCATCCAGTGCCTGACGTCACATGTTCCCTCCCTAGGATTTCATGACGACCTTGCCAAGTATCAGCACTTGGGCACAACGTCTGGAGAACACGACCAGCCTGGAGACAGGCCTCCACCAGACACCCCAGGTGCTTCATCACCAAGTGAAGGTCGCCTGTCTTCCATCTACGAAGAAAGCGAGGAACATGACATCGAGGCTATGATGATGGAGGAGTGGTACGATGAGTTACGTACGGACCTTCATCCCACAACGGTTACCAACGATCATCTCTACTGCGTCCCAACAACTATGCTGCCCAACCCATGTATTCTGGTCTCAGCATCCGTGGACGAGGAAGATATCGCAATGTCGGAAATGCTCGGAGACGAGCCTGAACTACAAGAGCCCTGTCTTATCTCTCTATGCTCGACTACACCTGGCGAGGGCTATTCTCTTGACAGTGATGAACATGGTCCTTATGTTGAGTTATGTTTCGCACCAGAAATGTCATAGGTAGTGTTGGATCAGACCCAACTTGCACAGCTTGAAACTGACATGGTCGCAACGATGAGAGTATATGTATCATCGGCTGCTAAACGTGCCGTGGTAGTCAAGGAAGACGACCTACTCACCAAAGCCGATGTAGCAGCACACCCTAAAGAGGTTAGTGAAGCTTTGTACACCGAACTCAAGATCTGGCTTGATAACCGGTGCTTTGAAATGTATGACCTATCTAAAGCTTCCAGCATCATGACATCCAGATAGGTACACAAGTGGAAGTTTGTGAAGGTAGGCACCGAGAACGTTAAAACCATCCGTCTCAGACATGTCCTCCGCGGATTCCTGGGCACGGAGGCGTTCGATGTAGAAACCTTCTCAGGAACTGCTCGAAGACAGTCCCAGAGGCTCCTGGCAAGTGAGGCGGCATGTCATCCATAATGGATCTTAGCATCTATGGATATCGACAAGGCGTTCCTCAAAGGTCTGACCTATGAGGAACTTGCTCATGCCACCGGCGAGGAAACTCGCATGGTTTGCTTCACTCTTCCACCAGGAAGCGCCCAGGTGCTTCGTACACTACCAGGCTTCTCTTCATGCGATGAAAGCCGACACTGCCTCAGGTGCCTCAAGCCAAGGACGGGTACAAAGGGCGCCCCAAGAGCGTTCTCCCTCAAGGTTCGTACGACCACACGAGCTATAGGCCTCACACCGACAAGTTACGATCCTTAGTTTGAATTCAGTCAAGATCTGTCAACGGCAAAACACGTCGACGATATCAACATGACAGGCCTAGAGAAAAACGTAGATAACTATGTGCAACGTGTCGAAAAGGCGTTTGGTAAATGCAAGAACAAACATTATTATACCAATTGCGCCGTTCGCTACACTAAGAATGAGCAAGGGGATGTGATCATGGATCAGGACGAGTACATTAAACAACTACGTCCTATCACGCACCCTGAACTTACGGGAGCGGCGGCTGACGCCAAAGCTACTAAACTCATCACCGACATGTCCGTTAGCCTGCGAGGAGCTCTCGCCTATGCCCTTCTTACTCAAGTTTGGCTTATGGTGCACGTGGTCTCTCTCCAGAAGATCCAAGAGCCCACCAACTTACAAGTCAGACGACTGGATGCTGTGACGCGAAAGCTGATCCGCAGCCCGCAACGCATCACCTTCCCTCGGATGAAACCGACGAACGAGGTAGATATGCACAGTGATTCGGGGTATCGGAAGCTCACCGGGGAGGAAGACGATGAGACCAAGGGCTACGGCATCCGTGGGGCTAACGTATTACGGCGCGGAAACTCGCCTCAAGGCAAATCCGTCATCCACCTTTGCGACGGACTATGCAAACCAGGTCCAGCTATGCCGCTGAGGCACTTGCAGCTGCACACAACCTTGATGAATGTTACCCCACGCTTATCACTCTCCACGAGCTCAAGGCAGGGGCACTTACTCCACGTCAACTACGAGATATGCGTGAAGTTGGAGGCCTAGCTATTAAAGTATCCCTTACTATAGACGCTGAGTCTGTATACAAATCGCTTTCCAGCAAAGATCTTAAGATACCGACGGAACGGACTTTGCTGGGACATATCAGCTGGATACGTGAGCTCATGGATATAGGTATAGTGCATAACGTACAGTGGTGCGATACTAGAGACATGACCGCAGATGGGCATACAAAGGGAAGTATCGATCGGGAGCTGCTTTTGGAAATCATGTCAGGCACTCAGTCACTTAAGTATGACGTGAAGCAGTTTGTTCCCTTTCGGGGTCCTGAGGACAGAAATACGCCTAAGTCAAATCAGTTTTAGTCTGTCCTTGCTGCCCCCGCGGTCCAGTCTGCCAGCACGGGCGCCTAATACAGAGGCGCCCTCCTAGTTGCTCGGAAACGAGCTTTACTTTTCACGCTTGGCCACGAGCCTGTTCAGATTGATTCAGGCTCTTTGCTCTAATACCCTTTTGCTCGGAGAGGTATAGCCTGTTTGGCTCACCTCTAGCCGGGCCGATAGCCCTTTGATGTCCCAGGGGCCAGCTTGCGTATGCGTGAAAATGCTTTGCGAGGAAACTCGCCTTACAGTCTGGTGTTAGGCCGGACTGTACGCACTGTTTTTCTTGCAAACAGTCGTGCGCGCGGCCTTTGCGGAGCCTAACGGCTGCGCGGCTATACTCACCGTCTCCTCCCCTCCCGACTTTAAGGGTAGCTCTTTGGGAGATGTTATATAGGATCGGGAGTATAGCTCGCGCGCCGTTGCCTTTGGCTCAAGGCACGCGCGCCCTATTTGCCCGGACACTGCGTGTGTTCGCTATGTGCTGGAAAGATCATTACATCGATCTTATCTTATCTTTTCCGTCCACTCCCCGTACTGAACTGACACAGCATGGCATTGGACGCTATCTGCCACCCGCTTCCCATGGAATCGGATGCGATTTGATTTACCATCGTCATTTCAGACTGAGGGGGCAGGGGGGAGGGGTAAACCCTTCCCCGAAGGAGAAGAAGTGAGTTGGAAGAGGCAACGCTCTAAACCACTCATTCCCAGAGGGCTGGTGAGATTCCTCGGCGGCGAGCCCAGGGGAGGGAAGTGACAGGGGGCCGGCCTTCCCAGAAAGCTCACAAGGCCTCGGGCCGTCTCAGAAGTTGTCTAAGCCCTCCCCGAAGACGCAGAAAGATTCTTGACAGGCGCGAGGGCTTCTGAGAAGCCCCGCCACCTTCTGAGAAGGCCTGCCCCCTTTCACTTCTTCCCCGGGCTCGCCGCCAAGTCTACTTTCAGGATCAGGAATCGATGTGGCGCAAGCTGTGCGTGAAGCCAGAGACGCCAGCCAATGCACGGTGCGGCCACGGGGCTGCGACGGACGCCCACTGGGCGAAACTTTTGAAGCGCCAGCCGGCGCACGGGGCGGGGGCGGCCACGAGCCCCCGCCAGACGAGAACCTTGAGAGCCCTGCCAGCGCACGGGGCGGCCACGAGGCGGCCGTGGGTGGCCACCACGCGAAGACCCAGGGAGCCCATCAAGGTGTGCAAGACATACATAATCGAGGCCTCCCAGATGGCGTCGGAAGATCGCGCCGAGCCGCCGATGCATCGCCGATACATCGGCGATGCAACGGCGACGTAGCTCGATGTGACCCGATGTTTTCCACGCCTACGTCGCCGGTGCATCGCCGACGTCGGCGATACATCGCCGATGCATGGGCGATGCATCGATGATGCGGCGCGATCCTCCGACCCCATCTACTCGGACTCCATTTGAGAGGCCTCAACAGAAGCAGGAACCTCTCAGTACAAGCACCGCCTTCTGGGAAGAATGAGGCTTAGAAGAAAGAAGCGCGGCAGAGAACAAGGGCGGGGCAGTGCCGCCGCAGCGAGGCCTTAGAGGAGGACGACGAAGTTTTGTGCCCGCCCCGGGTCCAGATCCCCGGAGAACCCCGAGTCCCCCGGAAGCCCCCAGAAGCCCGCCAAGGGCCAGGCCCCTCCGAAGACCTCCGCGCCAAAAGTGGGCGCCGAAAGTGGGCGCCGAAAGTGGGCGGCGAAAGTGGGCGCCAAAAGTGGGCGCCGAAAGTGGGCGCCGAAAGTGGGCGCCGAACGTGGGCGCCGAAAGTGGGCGCCGAAAGTGGGCGCCGAAAGTGGGCGGCGAAAGTGGGCGCCGAAAGTGGGCGCCGAAAGTGGGCGGCGAAAGTGGGCGGCGAAAGTGGGCGGCGAACGTGGGCTTGCTTGTCGTGAATATGTCTTTTCCTTGTCGTGAAGCTGCTTGTCGCGAAGCCACATCCTCCTTCGGAGGCCTCCGCAGGCCCGGCAAGGCCCAACAAACGCCCGAAGACTTCCGCCCTCGAGGCTCGAGGGCAGCGCTCGGCACTCCAGTGCAAGCCTCGCAGGCCCCGCCCCCCACCAAGCCCGGCCGCCACCAGGAGCCGACCCGCGCGCTGCCGCCGCCCCCGCCGTGCGCTCTGGCGGCGCTCGAGGCCGCCGCCGCGCCCGCGCCCCCCTCGGGGGTGGACAAAACCCCAAGAGTGACACGTCGATTAGCGAATTGTCCGTTTTCGGTTCTCGAGAGGGCGCCGTGGCCGTTATTTTCCAGGCTTGCGCCCGCCAGGTTTGGGCCTCAGGTCGTTTTCACTAAACCACGCTTTACTAAAGGGAGGTCTGTCCATCCCCGACCCCCCGCAGGGCCAGAGTTCCGACGCCGCCGCCGACGCCGCCGCCGATGGCGGCGGCGGGGGCGGCGACGCCGCCGACGACACCCTCCGCGGCCACCCCGCAGTGGGCCAGGGCGCACGTCGACGGCGGCGGCGGCGGCGGCGGCGACGACGACGACGACGACGACCTCGACCTCGACGACGCCGACGTCGACGAAGACAACGACGACGACGACGACGACCACGACGACGACGACGACGACGACGACGATGGTAGCGGCGACGACGCCGCCGGCGACGGTGGCGGCGGCGGCGACGACGGCGAAGACGCCGCCGACGACTGCGGCGGCAGCGGCGGCGGCGGTGACGGCGACGGGCGCGGCGGCGACTATAATGCGACTGATCCTCCCGCCTGGAGCTCGGCGCCGACTCCCGCAGGCGCGCGTGCTGCGCATGATTGCCGCCAGCACCACCGCCGCCAGCGACCTGACCGGCCACCAGCACGGGGAGATCACGCACGAGCCAATTGGCCAGTCCGGGGCCTCCTCTGTCCTCCTCATGATCCTGCATCCCTTTTCCAGAACGCCTCCCTGTCACACCCTCAGACGTACCGGCAGGGCGGGCGGGGCGTTTCGTTTGAGATTGCCTTACCACCGATGACCCTGAAGCTCGAAGTTGGATCAGTGTCACGGATGGAGGGTAGGTCTTTTCAAAATGTAGGTCTGGCTTGGGCGCCATGCACTTCTCGTTTGAGGATGATACAACAGTTTCAATGAGGGTGTGGGGGTCGACATGTGGCTCTCGCATAATCCCCGCGCACCTTAGTTTGAATGCTCGCAACGGACTCAAGGATTGATGGCGGGTCTTTTTCAAAATGTGGCTCTCGCGCTATCGCCGCGCACATTTGTTTTAAAGGTCGCAATCCTTTCAAGGATGGTGGGCGGGTGGTTGTTAAAAATGTGGTTCTCGCTTGAGCGCTGCGTTCATTCGTCTTCAACGTTCGCACTCGTTTCAAGGATTGAATGCGGGTCATTTTCAAAATGTGGTTGTCGCCTCGCACCCTCGCTTTGATAGAGCGCAAGTGGTTCAAGAATTGAGGGCGGCTCATTTCCAAAATGCGGGTCTCGCATTAGTGGCTCTTCCTAAAAGTGTACAGCAGCACTGTCAACTCGCACAGTGAGGATGATTCAGCGATGTTGCTGCGTCCTGACAATCTCAATTAACCCAGAACACGATTCCGGGGATTTCAACAATACGAACATATCATACAGTCAATCCGTGTATTAAGGATTCACGATCAGGATGCAAGGTCCTTGGAAGGCCATGTCGACACTTTGCGAGCAGAGCGCGGCCAGCGACAGCGGCCAAGGATGGGCCGAAGGGTAAGGATGCAAGGGTAACCTTCGAACGTTGCTCGCGGCGACGAACGCCCAGGAATTGTGCTTGCTGTTTTCCAAAGGGGCATTTCTCGCAATATCCTTGCTGGTTATGTTGTATTCCTGCCCTGCGCGCGCGCAGGCCTCCGCTAGTGCGTGGTCCGCTGGAAGCATGGCGCACTCGTAGACGGCCGACTTCACCTCCGCTACGTCCCTGGCGAGAAAGATCACCTGCCGAGCCTCGTCGGACATGAGCGTGGTGTTGTTGCTGCCCTTGCCCTTGTCGCCCGTGCCGTTTTCCTTGCCGCCTTTGTGTCCTTGTCTTTTCTGCGTTTGCCATTGTCGCCCCCCTCGTGAACCCCCTCGGGCGCGGTAACCTCTTTCTCTGCGCGCCGTTCCTTGATCTTGAACCAGATTGGAAGGGGTAAATTGCCCCGGCCGCTGAAGGATTGACCAGATATCGGCTATACAGAGATCTGCTGCGCACGTAGAGATCACCACGGGCAGATGCTGCTGAACCAAACGGCGACGTAACCTGTCCAAGTCAGCCAGTTCTGCCTCACATATTCGACGTGCAAGAGAGATGGGCCCCACTAATCCCCGTCGGCGGCGAGGCGGAGGTACATTGCACCAGCGCGATGCGTTCCGGGGCAACCGAAAGGCGAATTGGCCAGCATGCAAGAGCAGGGAACAAGACAGACAAGGCGGCCGCAGACAAGGGTACGACACGTAGATCGTTGTCCCTGCGGCGCTGTCCGAGCAGGCGCTCCTCTTCCTGGAACAAGCGCTAGCCCCCTACGGCCTGGAGGTCAACCCGACCAAGACTTCGGTGTGGGTCCCAGCTGGCCCAGCGGGGCTGCCAGAGGGGTTGCGCCCTCGCTACGTGGCAACGCTGCCAGTGCTGGGTGCGCACTTGACGACGCGTGGCGACCAGGAGGACGCCCCTTTCCTGCTCGGCCACCAGGAAGGCGGACTCGGCGCAGCCACGGACAGGCTCGACTCCCTCTGGCGGGCCCTCTGGCAGCTCGCGGGGCGCGGCCTGCGGAGGCAGGCGGGCGGGAGCCTGTCCAGCACCTACGCCGGTGCCGCCAGCCAGCACGCTTTGCGGGCCACGTTGGCCACGGACCCAGAGACGCAGCGCTACGAGACAACGCGCTGGCCAGCTGCTGGGAAGACTTGGCAGGCAGGGACCTCGACCCTCTGAACCGGGAAGTCCTCGGCCTGCCGCGCAAGGAACGGCGGGGTCGGGGTGCAGTGGGCGTCCACCCGCCGAGCAGCCGATTTCTGGGCCAGCTGGGCCTTCGCTGTGGAGTGGGTCGCGAGGGACGCAGGGGCGACGGCGAGCGAGCTGGTGCCTGACCTGGAGCAGACGCTCGCCAGGGTGCGCGCAGAGCTACGGAGCCGCGGAGCCGACCGCCCCCGGAGCCTCGTTCTTGGAAGCCCTCCAGAACTCGCTTAGGCAGCATATACCACTGAGGGAAGAGCAGGCCCGCCGAGCTGCGGCACAACGACGGGCGACGTCGTGGTGGGCGCTGTCCCCAAGTGCGAGGCCTCGGCCGAGGTAGCGAGCCTCTTCCCTGGATGCGGCAGGTTCGCGTCGTGTCGACCGGCGGCGACCCCGGCGCGGGCGTTCAAGGTCGAACGCCGCCAGAGGCCCAGAATCAGCCAATGTGGGAGGGTCTGGCAATCGAGAAGCCGCGGATCCTTCAAGGTTGAACGATCGACGCGGTGTCATTAACCATCGCCGGGGTCGACACAACACGAACCCTCAGTACCTCTGCAAACCCGAACCGTCGGGGGACCTGAAGCAGACGACGGGAAGTAGTGAGCCCCCGCCCAGGCGAACAAAAATCATGAGTTCCTGCCTGCTCGAGTCCTGAGCCAGGCGGAAGTCCCAGAGGTAACCGTTCAAGGAGGCGTCGATATCATACATCTGCCGCAGGAAGTGGACACATGAAATACCCTCATTGGCAACGCAAAACTTATTCAAGTCATCCGCATATTTTTTAAACAAAAAAAAGGAAAAACGGAACACACAAAAAACATAAGGTCCTTGCACTCCTAGGCACCCCCAGCACACTCCAGCCTCATCCCAGCATCTGTCGAGAAGAAATGCGCACCAAGTTTTGACACGAACGGATCTTCCTCAATGGCCACTCGCACGTCTTAGCGATTGTTTGCCGTCACGTCCCTCCAATTCTACCGCCGATAATTGGCAATGCTGCTTGCAGCGAACTGACTATTTTGGTTGGGTCTGAATGTCCGTGCGAACGCCCAAAGAAGGCCTAGCAAACGCACAGGTCATGCCTTCCGGAGTCATGCAGTGGGTCCGTTTTACCTTCCCCAGCCTATGGTTGACAATCTGGGCGATCAGGATGGGGTTCTCACGCGCACGGCCGCGTATAAAGCCATTGTCAAACAGCGTAGCTTGGCCACTCACACGGGTGGCGTATCAAGCTTTACCTGCGACAGGGAGCACATGCCAATTCTACGTCCTTTAGGCACGAGGGTCTTGGTTTCATGAAGGGCGGCCCCTTTTTGGAAAATGCAAAGGACTTGGGGACGCGCAGTGGGATCTGACTTTTTTCCGACCCAGTTTCGAGGAAACCCCAAAACGGTCGTACAGCAAACTTCTTCTTCCCCGAACCCACCATGCTCTACTCCGAATGCGCAAGTTCCGTTGGGCATAATGCCATTAGAGCATGTGCCATCATTCCACGGGCATTCCCTGGTGTACGGCCGGTCGTTTCGGAGCTCTCCTCGCATGCAGGCGCTTGTCCGTGACACTTTTGTCTACGACTTTCCGATATCCGGATCACGGTTGGCACCACATTATTTTCATGTAGTGTCCTTGGCGTTGCGCCACATATTCCAATCAAGCGCATCGATTGGTTTGCCCCCTTCATGCCCGTCCACTCCCACACACGCTAGCCATTCATCGCACGTGCGGAGGGCGGAAACAATCAACTTCCCGTCTCGCTGCTTCGAGCTGAAACGACATCTTGCTGTTCCCCACAGAGAGCGCATGGCCTCTGCGTGTCTACCTGGATCGAGAGCAGCCCGAGCCTGTGCGCGGCGGGCCTGCGTGAGCACCTTCGTGAGTGCCTTGGGCTCCTCGTCGGTCTGACGAGCAATTTCATCCCACTCCTCTGCCTTTAATGCAGTGCGGCGGCGCAGTGAGGCCCGAAGACGGCGGCAGTTCTCCGAACACGACGAGTTGTGGCGATTTGATGTTGCAGAGTGGTGTTGCCTTGCCGTCACTCTCGCCGCTACAAGACTCTCAGAGATCTCGTCGGGAGATGCCCGCTCAAGCAATCACCTCCACAGTCAACGTTGTAGTTTATGCTTAGCCGCGTCCCAGAACTTAGCCCGTCCAGTACACCACCTTGACGCGCTCATCGTGGTACTCCGATCCCACGACAGAGGGATTCAGCATATGAAACTTCGCTCCCCCCTTACAGTGGGGCATCTCAATGTAGATCTGGATGTGGTCTGTGGGTGCACGGCCCGTGTAGGTCTGAAGTTTGGCCCCCACCTTCTCAGGTGGGTGGCAGACTCTACTTTTTCCCGTTCTCGAGGGAGGATGGAAGAGGATAGAACGGGGAGGGAGCGAGGAAGGGAGGAGGAAGAGGGGGATGGGGGGGGCTTCCGGCAGGGGAAGGACACAGGAGGCCATCCCACCTTTTCCCCCGCCACCCACTCCCAACCCATCTCCCCCCTGTGCATTCGCCCTTGCTACCTCCCCCCCGGCATTACCCCATCCACTCCCCATGCTGATCCGCCCCCCCGCCCTTGTTTCCCCCACCCCCCTCGCCCCCATGTTGCACGCTCGTCACCCCCCAAAGGCCCCTTGAGGGGCCCTAAATGGCCACTTTTCTGCACCCCTCGCTGCCCTCCAATCGATCGCCGCTGCATTAACTCGCACCCAAGGCCGTGGCCGTGGCCGTGGTGGCCGTGGCCGTGGTGGCCGTGGTCGTGCTGGCCGTGGCCGTGGTGGCCGTGGCCGTGGCCGTGGTGGCCGTGGCTGTGGTGGCCGTGGCCGTGGTGGCCGCGGCCGTGGTGGCCGCGGCCGTGGTGGCCGTGGCCGTGGTGGCCGTGGCCGTGGTGGCCGTGGCCGTGGTGGCCGTGGGCGTGGTGGCCGTGGCCGTGGTGGCCGTTGCCGTGGTGGCCGTGGCCGTGGTGGCCGTGGCCGTGGTGGCCGTGGCCGTGGTGGCCGTGGGCGTGGTGGCCGTGGCCGTGGTGGCCGTGGCCGTGGTGGCCGTGGTCGTGGCCGTGGCCGTGGTCGTGGCCGTGGTCGTGGCCGTGGCCGTGGTCGTGGTCGTGGCTGTTGTCGTGGCCGTGGCCGTGGCCTTGGCCGTGGCTGTGGCCGTAGCCGTGGCCGTGGCCGTGGCCGTGGCCGTGGCCGTGGCCTGAGAAATCGCTTGCAGGCTTCACGGAAGTGCTCGGGAAGGTCCACAAGTAGCTCCCGCCGTAGCAGTCGAGGGCTACCCGACGCCGTTCTGGAACGCCAACGCTCTCAGAGCGCTCGGGAGCGCTGTGCAACTGCCGCGGCCCCCGATACATCCTGCAGGCACGCCATCTCTCAGGGGGGCCCTGACTCACTTCATCCCGATGCTGTCCTGTTCCCGCCATCGTCTTGGTTGTCCTTCTCCAGGGGGCGGCGCAAGAGCGCGAAGAAGTAGCACAGAAAAACAACGCGACATACTTGATCCGAGGTCCGCGCGGAGCAACTGGCCCCTTCTTGCGTCATCCTCCCTCCTCCTCCTCCTCCTCCTCCTCCTCTTCCTCCTCCTCCTGCTCCTCCTCCTCCTGCTCCTGCTCCTCATCCTCCTCCTCAATCATAGTCATCCCTCCTCATCCCACCTCATCCGTTCCCCTCTCCCCCATGAAGCCTCTCCGATTTCTCTTCTCCCTTCCACCCTGGCACTTCCTCCATTCCTCCATGCCTCCCCCCATGCCACCTTTCCTGTCTCCTCCGCTCTCGCCATCCCTCTGCCTCACATGTTTCTTCGTCCTGTCCTTATCACACCCTTCCCCTTCCTCCGTCCGTCCTCCCTTTCCTTTCCCCGACTTTCTGTATCATCCCGCCCTGCCCGCACCCCATCACACAGCACCCTTTGTCGTCATCAACTGTCATCCTCACCATAATCGCTTTCCTGGCCCTTCTCCATCTGATGTTACTCCTTCTCCCCCTCCTCTTCTTCCCCCCTCCCTCTACCCTCCCCTGGGGGTGAGGCAACGCGGCTGGCTATTGTGAACGACAGCCTGACACGACGATCTTGACCATTCCGCAGGACGCGCTGGAGGGAGGGAGCGAGGGCAGGCAAGGGTGAGGGAGGGAGGGAGAGGAAGGCACGAGAGAGGAGGACGAGGAGGAGGAGGAGGCGGAGGTTGAGGAGGAGGAGCAGGAGGAGAAGGAGGGGGGGGAGGACGAGGAGGAGGAGGAGGAGGAGGAGGAGGTGGAGGACGAGGAGGAGGAGGAGGAGGAGGAGGGGAGGAAGAGGAGGAGAGGGAGGAGGGCGAGGAGGAGGAGGAGGAGGAGGAGGACGACGAGGACGAGGAGGAGGAGAAGGAGGCACGAGAGAGGGAGGAGGACGAGGAGGGGGAGGACAACTCCTGCATTGTTTCCTACAGCTTGAAGGTTCTGGAGATGCACAGCATATTCTCGAGGCTTCTTGAGGGGCTCTGATGGGTCTCACAATTTTCGGGGTTTATCTGAAGTGTCCAGCTGTTCAGGTGGGTATCACAGGTGTTCGAATGTTTCCGGACGTTTTCGGAGTGCGGCATTCGGACAGGGGGAAGGAATGGGACGGGACGGCGGGATGGAGCTAGAGCAGGAGGATAGAGAAATCAAAGGAGAGGGTATGGATGTTCTGCTCACGCTGCCAGGAGACTTTGCTCACGCCGCCAGGAGAAAAGGTATCCCAGGCTCCTCCGAGGAGCATTGTGAAGCTCGACTACGTGTGACAGCTCACCGTCACAAATTCCTCGCCCGCTCTTGGCGCGAGCAGGCCGCTGTGCAATTCTCCCCGTTTGTCCCCCCCTCCCGTGTGCAAGTGAGTGCAGGCGCTGATGCTGACAGTCCTATCCTGGGGAGTGCCTGGCAGGGACGAGGCCGCTGGCTCGGAGGGCCCGAGTAAGCAAGTACACATTGCTTACGCTTTTGGAGGGCTTGCGCCCATGGTGTGTGCAAGCAGGAAACGTACTAAACTGTTTCTAGGGTCTTGAAACTATCCTGGCGAAGGACCCAACCATATGCAGTTTTGAATACCGCAATTGTGAATATCATATTCGGCCGCGATCCCTATGGGGCCACGGATCGTGTGAGGGGCGTGCCGACATGCGTGGCGGGGCACACAACGCGAACGAAGACGATAGGTCTGTGTGCGAGAGACTGAGAGCGGGTGAGTGTGAGCGCGAGTGAGTCTGGTTGTGAATAAGTTGCGCGCGCGTCAGTCTACGTGCATCAGTCGACGCCCATGTCGACACGCCCTCACGAGGATCGCGCCCGTTTCCTTCCCGTTATGTTTCTCCCTCTTTGCCCGTGCACGCCCAATGTCCAAGGCTGCGGGCGCGGCGCCGCACGGAGTCCCCGCGACGCGCGCTGGTCGCCTCGAAGGGGTCCCGGCGACGCGCGCGGGTCGTCCGCTGCTCGGAGCAGAGAGAGCAAACAGGATGGCTGATAGCGGGCAAGACTTTGGCCGCCGGGCAGAGCGACGACGAGGGCGAGCGAGGCGCTGGGCAGAGCGCGCCGCATGGAGTTCCCGCGACGCGCGCTGGTCGCCCCGAGAGGGTCCCAGCGACGCGCGCGGGTCGCCCGCGGCGCGAGGCCAAACGGTCAGACCGTCGAGAGACGGCGAGGCTCGGTCGGGTCGCTCCTCAAGTCATGCCTCGCGAATGAATTCGGTGAAGCCCAGCTTCGCCGTTGGCACCTTAGGTGGAGCTCCTTATACGGCCACGGAACATGTGAGGGGTGTGCCAAAATGGGGCAGCGGGGCCATGCGAGCTGCGCCAGTTGCACCTTAGGTGGAGCTCCATATGGGGCCACGAACGTGTGAGGGGTGTGCCAAAATGGGGCGGTGGCGCCATGCGAGCTGCGCCGCTGCGCCATGCGAGCTGCGCCACTTGGATCTCAGGTGGGGCCTCCTATGGGGCCACGAAGCGTGTGAGGGGTGCACCAAAATTGGGGCGGCGGCGCCATGCGGGCTGCGCCACCCGGACCTTAGGTGGAGCCCTTTTTTTTTAATGGGGTCACGAACCGTGTGAGGTTTGTACCAAAATGGGGCGGCGCCGCCATGCGGGCTGCGCAAGTGTGACCTTAGATGGAGCTCCCCATGGGGCCACGAAACGAGTGAGGGGTGTACCAGAATGGAGCGGCGGTGCCATGCTAGCTGCGCCACTAGGACCTTATATGGAGCTTCCTGCGGGGCCACGAGACGTGTGATGGGGTGGACCAAAATGGGGCGGCGGCGTCATGCGGGCTGCGCCACTGGGACCTTATATGGGGCTCCGTATTGGGCCACGAAGCGTGTGAGGGGTGTGCCAAAATGGGGCGGCGGCGCCATGCGGGCCGCGCCACTGGGACCTCAGGTGGACCCCCCTTGATGGGGCCACGAAACGTGTGAGTGGTGTGCCGAAACAGAGACATGCGGACAGCAAAGGCAAGGAGGGGGAGGAGGGGGGAGGAAGGGGAGGAGGAGGAGGAGGAGGAGGAGGAGGAAGGAGGAAAACGCCGGGCACCGTCTCTTCAAAACGAGGACCCGACACCACAGGATGGTTGGGGAAAAAAGACAACTCCTGAATGCAAGCAGGTACGAGAAAGAGAATGAGACACGTCAACCATAGTGCGTGTGCGTGGAAGAGACTCGTAACTTCAATTCAACAGACCAACCGATGCAGAGGTGGAAGAGAGAGAGAGAGAAGGAGAGAGATAACGATCTCGCGTGCAGGAAAAGCATGCACATGCTGTGCAAGGGTCTGTCTGCGCCAGGGGGTTGTGAGGGGGGTGCGCAGGGTTTATGAAGAAGTTTGGCTCTTTGCGATTGGGGTTACCGTACGAGCCACAGCTTGACTAGCTTAGCGGTGCGCCGAACTTGTTTTATCTAGCGAAGAAGCCCCGCGGCACAGAGGTGGTCAATGGGGGGGCGGAGGAGGGGAGGGGCGGGGAGGGATGCGCAGCCTGCACGCAGGTTGCTTGGACGGTGCAGCCGACACGGTTGTTACGGCCATGGTTGTCTCATGGAGTATTCGAGACACTCGTCATCTTTATTGTAGCATTCGCCATCCTTATTGTATGCGTCCCTCCCGTCATCCCCATGTCATCCCGCATTTCCTCTATCTGTCGTTCCCACCACCTCCTCGTTCTCATCCTTCCTGTAGTCATTCTCGTTCTCCACCGTTCCTCCTCCTCCTCCGCATCCTCCTCCTCCTCCTCCTCCTCCTCTTCGTTCTCTTCCTCATCCTCCTCCACCTCCCCTCCCCATCATCGTCATAATCGTCCTCGTTCCGAATTCAAGCCGCATCCCCCTGATTGTTCACCCCTCATCATCCGTACCCCTTATCCGTATCAGCTCGTTATCGTTCTGTCTTAATCCCTCTGGCTTCCTCCTATGTTCGGCCTTCTCCTCCCCCTCCCCCTCCTGCTCGTCATCCTCATCCTCCTCCTCCTCCTCCTATTCGTGTTCCTCCTCCTCCTCCTTCTCCTCCTCCTCTTCCTCATCCTCCTCCTCCTCCTATTGCTCATCCCCTTCCCATCATGTTTAGTCTCATGCTCACCTGTTTCACCTGCTCATCCGTTTCTCATCCTGCTCCTCATTCCCCCCCCCGTCGTTCGCCTACCGTTGGCGCGTTCGACATCAATCAGCGAGCGCAAACATTGCAGGTACTCCTCATCAACTTGCTCGTCCACATCGTATGCCTCCCTTTTCATCCTCATTCTCCTCCACCTCTTCCTCCTCCTCCTCCTCCTTCTCCCCCTCTTCCTCCAACACCTCCTGATCATCCTCCTGCTCCTCCACCTCCTCCTCCTCATCCTCCGCCTCCTCTTCCTCCACCTCCTCCTTCTCCTCCTCCTCCTCCCTCCGCTCCTCCTCCTCCTCCGCCTCCTCAGTTCCCCCCCCCATCCCCTTCCCACCTCCTCCTCCTCCTTCGCCTTCTCCTCCTCCTCCGCGTTCTTCTCCTCATTGCCTTTCTCCTCCTTCTTCTCTGCTCCTCCTCCGCTTGCGCCTCTTCCTCCTCTTCTTCCGTCTCTTCCTTCTCCTCTCGTCTTCCCTCCCGCTCCCTTGAAATGGCGGGGAGAGAAGAGGATCATTGAGGAGGAGGGAGCGGAAGAGGAGGAGGAGGAGGAGGAGGAGGGGCCGATGGACATACTGCCCACCAGAGGCCGTGAACAGTCCATCGAATCCGTCGTGACCTCTTGGCGGTCGTCTGGCTCGGGCAGGCCGTGTTAGCACGTCTTATCTTCGCAGAGGTCCAGCGCTTCAGAGGCGGCCCGCCACCCGATGCGGCGCACGGGGGGCGGCCGAGTGCACGGAGGCTCCTCGCCGCCCTTCCCTTCAGCCTGATGTGGCTTCTCTCCCCGTCTGTCTTCGTGCCCCTACTCTGCCCCCTCGTCCGTGCGCCTCGTCTCCCCTCCCTCGTCCTCCTCATCATCGTCGTGCTCCTTCGCCGCCTCGCGCCTCGCGCCTCCCGCCCACCCTCCTCCTTCGCCTCCTTTTTTCCTCCTCCTCCTCCTCATCCTTCTCCTCTTCCTCCTCCTCCTCCTCCTCCTCCTCCTCCTCCTCCTCCTCCTCCTCCTCCTCCTCCTCCTCCCCCTCTTCTCCCGTCCTTTATGTTTTCCTCCTTCTCGTTGTCATCACCAGCATCATCATCATCATCATCATCATCATCATCAGCAGCAGCAGCAGCATCATCATCAGCATCAGCATCATCACCATCATCATAGCCACCCTCCTTCTGCTCCTCCCCCTCCTTCGCCCCATATTTGTTCGCCCCTTCTTTTTCTTCTATAATCCTCCTCCGCGTCATCGTCGTTCTCTCCCCCGCGTCGATAGGAATTTTGGCTTGAGGCTAACACCCTAGCAGTTGTTTATGGTGCTTTTGGAAACTGTTGTATTGCCCTGCGTTTCTGGAGGCACCTGGAAGGTTACAGTGACCTCCAGAGCGTTCTGAGGCCTCCGTCTCTAGACGCCTTGAAGCGTATGTTCCTTTCGAGTCGCCGGATGTCTGGGTCCTCCACCACAGCCGTCGATGTCGGCCGTCGTCGGCAGCGTCGGCATCGGCGCGCCGCGAGGACGTCACGGCCGCATTCCGCGCCCGCGCCCGGGCCCTCACGGTCTCGGACGAGGCCGCCGCCGCCGGCGCGGTGCCGTTCTTTTCGCTCGCCCGCGGGGGGGGGTTAGGGGCAGCATCAGGGGGGATCAGCTCAGGAGGGAACGCACTGACCCCCAA